ACTATGGGAGACACAGGAGAGCCCATCGTGCAGCCATGCTTCTGTCTGTAGAAGGACTCGTTGAACTGGAAGTAAGTGGTGGTGAGGCAGACATCCAAAAGGGCACAAATGTGGTCAATGGTCAGGTTGGTTCTTACCGACAGGGTGTGATCTTGAAGAAAGTGCATCCTCACTGTTGCTACTGCCTCTGTGGTGGGGATGCATGTAAAAAGTGATGTGACATTGTAGGAGACCATGGTCTCATCCGGGTCCAGTTTTAAGAACCAACCTCAGACACAACCTATCACCCACATACAAAGCACTTTTATGAACAATACCCAAAAGTTTCACCTCAGTTTCACACAACAAAGAGGCAGGTGACCGAAACCATTCTGATGGGGACCACAACAACCCATCAGACTCTTAACGACTGTGTACACTTTCACAGTTGACCCCAAGGCCGCACCCAACAGGGTGGAGCTGAAGTAGCTTTGTTCTTTCACGCCTAGAGTATATATTTGCTGTACTCCCCACCACCAGTTAGAACTGAAGAAGCCTCTTGGATTAGAGGTAAAACATCTTCTTTTAGACGTCCAGTTGCCTAACAGAACTTTTTAAACTTAGGTCCCATTGTTGCCGGATGAATCCTAATTAGCACATTTGTACAATCATTTCAACCACTGTAGGCTCAATAGTTCGACACCTTCACTTTGACACCTCTATACTTGCTGATTAAGATAATTAGAACAACAGGACACAGATGCTGCCCACTGAGCCTCAACGGTCGCCCAGCCGTCATCTCACGTTCTTCTTCGCAGCCAATCACAGTGTGACAATTGGTGACGCTTGACTTAGCAAACAATGACGCAATGACGTGAAAATTCATGAGCACCGTCACACACGTCTTAACGCAAGCACAAGTAGGTTGTCTAGACCATTGTTTCCCAATTACGGCTTTCTGAAATTAACACTTTTTTTTAGTTTAAACAGTAGAGTCATTTATTGTTTGCTAATGTAGCTACGACAAGCTGATAGAAAACATAACACACTGTTATGGGGGGGGTTCTGAGGACCAGAGGGAGAGGGGAGAGATGCCGTTTTCAATGCCGTATGATAAACGGAGGTAATTATTTCTCCTATTCTGGGGTGAGTTTTAAGTGCTGCTGATATTGCTGGATGGTGTTTTTTCTGCGCATCAGTGTTGAGGACATACTGCATTATGAAAAACTTTGACTTTGTGTCTCCAGAACGTTCTGTCAACTCTAAGTGCCTGTTTCTACAACTAAGTAGAGGTTTGATAATCTGTTAACATCTGGAAGTGTGGTTTAGTGGTGTAGAACAGCTGCAGATTAGGACCCCCCCCGTACCCCCCTTCCCTTCCAGGCCTTGCACAGGATGACTTTACCCATTATATTACTCCTACCTGTGCAAAAATTAGCCTTCTGCTTTGCTAATACGCAACTGCAGGACCATTAGCATGTGCGATACAAAAGCTAATCACATTGGCTCATTTAGCACAGAGCTAATGCGCCTGAGGCATTGGAAGTGACAAGATAGGAGGAACAGCCAGGAAGTAACCATTCATTGTCGTGGGGGGAGGGGGCGCAGGAGCCAATCCCAGGTATTGCCAGGCGTGGGCAGGATACACCCTGGACATTTCCCCAGTTCATCGCAGCAACACATATAGAGATAAACAACCACTCACACTCACAATCTCACTTGTGGTCAATTTATATTGTTCGATCAACCTACTACAAATTTATCAAGTTTTTGGGTTTTAGGAGGAGTTCCACGATCAACCGGGAATGGAAACTCGCACACCAGTGATCTTCTCGATATAGAGTCAAGTGTTCTACAAACATTTTCCACCGTGTGGCCCCTTGGGAACTGTATGAACCATCCATCCATCCGTCCTTGTCCGCTTATCCGTCACCAGGTCGAGGGGGCAGCAGTCTCCACAACCGACACCCAAATCACACTGCACCGCACTAGCCCCTCATAAACTTTTGTGCGGGTGGTGAGTCCACTGGAAGGTACCAACCACCCTAACTGGGATTCGAACTTGCCTAGGAGGTTTACCCTGGGGCTCCACACCAATGGCAGAGACATTGCCTGAAACGTCTTCAAAAAAGTTGCTTTCGATGTAACTATTTTTTGAACAAGCTAAATGTTCTTACACTTAATCAGCTCTTCCAACCCAATCTGCCAAGGTGGTTAGACGTTTTTGATTGACACAATAAAAAAAAGAAAGTAGTGTGGTCTCAACTTTAAGATATTACATTTAGGTAAAGCAATATGTTTTGTAGAGGAACAAAATGTTGGACATTTCGGTACTGGTTATTTTTCCCTCTAAATTAGATGTCATATCTCAAGATTTCTCAGTTTACTGCGTTTAAATGTTGGAATTCTGATGTACTAATGCTGTAAAACTACTTCTAGTTAATTACAAAAAAATATATAAGTTTAATTTTTTACAATTTTTTTACACCAGATTACACTGATTTATGTCGCAACACGCCTTGGTCCGTCCCTCTGCCTCCATCCCGAGGCCTGACGACGGCTCTATAGGAGGAGTGTGGATATGGGGAGAGTCGGCAGTGGTGCCTGCTGGGTGATGACGATAGTCGACATAACTAAACCCACCTACGGTTCATTTAAATGCCCGCGCACGCGGCTCTCCCCCACCTCGTCACCAGTGTCGCTACCGTGTATTTATAAGGCGCCCCGGTGCGCGCAAAGGCACAAGCGTGCCCGCTCTCTGTAGGGACAGAGCGCAACCACTTAGAGACGGGTTTCATTTTTGGATGAGAGAGAGCTGCTGAGCAGACGCCTCTACTGCTGCCGCTGCTGAGGAAGAGACGCAGGAGCGCAAGTTTCATCCTAACTTCACCAGAGTCGCCTTCATCCATGGGGTGAGTTCTTATCCATATCCCCTCCCCTCCCGTTCTGTTCCTGAGAAATTATGCTGCGTTATACCATTTGATGGACACTGATAGTAGAACGCTTTTAAGAAAATATTAAGAATAATACGCAAATCTAAGATTTATTTTTCTTTTGTTGTATTTATCATTAAAAACGACTTGTTAGGACTTGTTGCTGTGGGGAAATTGCATAAAATCTATTTAATTTGGATTTTTGTGATTAAAAAAAACAAACAAAACATTTTTGCTCATTTTACCCCAATTGTATCGGTGCCTATTGAGAGAATGCGCAGTACCAAATAGTACCAAACTGCACAGTTGTTTTAATTTGGGTCATGTTTTGTTTTTTAGTTTTTGTGGGGTTTTTTTTTGTTTGTTTCTTTTGTTTTTTTGTTTTTATTGTTTTGGGTTTCACCCTAACGTGTTGAATTGTGTCATCCTAAAACCGCTCCTTCATCAACCAGTCCATCATCCTCCTCCGCCGCGTCCTTCTCTGTCATTGTTATTCTCTAACTTCTACCTTTACCACCGTGTGTCGACGCTGTTCCACAGGCATGCTGTGCGTTTGTGATTGACGTTGTGATGCTGTGGCTGTCATGCGATATTGATCTCTGTGTAGTCAATGTTAATGTTGACTTGACTCGCAAAGCTGAAAAACAAAGATAAGTTGTCTTAAAATCGGCTAAAAATGATGAAAACGCTCTCGCCCTGCAATCAATTGGAAGATTACACGTCACCTGGTGCATTTTGTTGACATTTCTAAACTTGTATAAATACGGTCAAATAAATATAATATAATATAATATATATAAGATGGTGGCGCTTTCGCCTAGAGGCAACGTCTCTGTCATTGGTGTGGAACGCCAGGGTTCACCTCCTGGGCAAGTTCGAATCCCGGTTAGGGCGGTTGGTACCTTCCAGTGGACTCACCACCCGCAGGAAGGTTTAGGGGAGTTGGTACGATGCAATTCGATTTGGGTGGCGACTGCTGCCCCCGCGACCCGTTAACGGATGAAAATGGATGGATATATAAGATGCCAGTATGTAGAGATTCATAATCTATTTCTTTAAACGTATCAGATTTGACTGAGGCAAGGCAGATACATGCAAGTATAATTCCCCGTAGAAATGGACACACACCCCGACCCTCCTCTGTCACTCCCAACATTTGTGATGTCCGTCACGTGACTGTGTGTAGTTTCTTTCTATGTGTAGTTTCTTTCTGTGTTTTTTTTGCCATGTGATCAAATGGAACCTGTGGTAGAACTTTTTGACTTGGGGGGGTCTACAAAGGTCAAATCGCTGTCACCCCAAAGTGTCAACAGTATTTGAGTGAATATTTTTTGCTCTCTGTGAAATCAAACAAAAGTGATTCTGTGCCTTGGTGGTTTGGCCAGTGGACATAAACAATGAAAGTCATTTTGAAGCAATCATGAACCATAGATAAGAACTGGTTACTAAATGACTTTACGCAGATGAAGCTAAAGTAATTATCTAAACAGTAGTCTGTCGGAAAATGAAGCCACTTGTTAAATGATTTACTAGAATTACAATTTTACCCAGAGGGTTTGATCGCATTTGATAGATATAGGTTGTATTTAATACAATATGATAGTGGTGTTAACACCAACTCTGCTGCAAAAGGTGGCGCCAAGTGTGTTGTTCCTTTGGAACTCAAACCCAGGACCTTCTGTGTGTAAGGCAGATATGCAAGTGTCCTGCTTACACATCTGCCTGGGTCCTGATAATGCAACCGGCAGAATGATTGTGCTTTTGCAAAGTCCATCTGTCCTGTTCTTATACACAATCCATGAATGACTCCCAGGTTCAGTTTGGTCCATTTGAGGTGAATGAGCAGTGAGACCAAAATATAAGAATACATTTGTCTTTATAAGAACATTATGGACTAACATGGCATTATTAGTCCACCCTTAGAAATGCCACAGAATATTTCCTATCCGACTAACACTTCTTCCACCTCCCCTTCTCTGTCTCTGTCTGTTATATTTCAGAATATTCCCCGTGAATTAACAAATATAAACAAATATATACAGACGGCAGCGCTCATCTTCCAGTTCCAAACCTTTGCTCACAGGCAACATGCAGGAGTCAGAGGTGACCGTGTGCCAGCTGCAGCCCAACATTATCTCCGTGCGCCTTTTCAAGAGGAAGGTCGGCGGTCTGGGTTTCTTGGTAAAGCAGAGGGTCTCCAAGCCTCCTGTCATTGTGTCAGACCTCATCCGCAGTGGCGCAGCAGAGGAGTGTGGACTGGTGCAGGTAGGTGACATCGTCCTGGCCGTCAACAACAAGCCCCTTGTGGACCTTTCATACGAAAGAGCCCTGGAGACCTTGAAGAACGTGTTGCCCGAGAGCCACGCTGTGCTCATCCTCCGCGGTCCGGAGGGCTTCACCACACACTTGGAAACCACCCTGTGCGGAGACGGCCACCGCCGTACAGTGAGGGTCACGCATCCTGCCTTTCCACCCTCAAAGTCCTTTGAGCACTGCTCCCCCCTCAGCCCATTTAGCCCTGGGCAGCAGCAGCAGGCCAACAAGGATCACCAGCTCTGCGCCATAGAAAATCTGTCCTCTGCATCCATCACACAGTCCCTCCTGCAGCGGGGAAGCATACATGTCCAGGACCCCCTGCTGATGAGGGACGGGGGCTGTGAAACACTCCTGTGCAACGGTCAGGAGGAAAACAATGATCTGCTGAAGGAGATTGAACCAGTGCTGTCTCATCAAAAACAGCAAAAAGGAGATCAACGTAGAAGGCCAGAGGAATGCTGAGATTCAAGTGGCCTGGTAATTTGTGATGAGATACTGAAGTATTGATTCCCACGTTCAAGTGTTTTTGTGCTCATTCTGTTGACCAGTTTACGATTTAAGTGACTGATGAAATCTACTAAGGAGTTCCGGTGTCCACACACAGACACCGAAGTAACCAAGAACCGATTATCTGACCAATCATCAAATATACTCCAAACTGACTAATAACTATCAGAATCAAATATCAGAGGTTAGATCCTCATTAATTCAATTTAAACCAGATTTGAAAACTACAGCCCGTGGGCCCTCAAAACAGTTATTTTTGTACATTTTTATTGATATTATTTCGCCCGACATTCCATATCCAACTAACACTGAACTGACTCGCCGGCCAAAAGGGTCAAAACGTTTGCCCACCCTTGATTTGAACCATTATACAGACATTACAGTCACTTTGTCTTAAACCTCATTTAAAGTAAATATATAGTCTAAAGTATAAAGTATAAACCAGCCACTAGGTTACACGAAGCAGTGTTTTATAGTGCCGGTCCCAAGCCCGGATAACTGGTGAGGGTTGCGTCAGGAAGGGCATAAAACTTTTAGCCAAATCAAATATGCAAATCACCAAAACGATTTCCATACCGGATCAGTCGAGGGCCGGGTTAACAACGACCGCCAACAGTGCCTTTGACCAACAAGGCACTGATGGAAATTGGGCTACTGTTGGTCAGAGACAGCGTCAGAGACAGAGAAGAAGAGGAGGGCATTTGGTTAGGAAAAAAACAGAAAAGAGGTGGAGAGAAGAAGAGTAGATATTTTGTGTGTGCAGGAGACCAGGTGTAAGGGCAGCAATGCTAGAAACATTGGAGGAGGCTACAAACAATTTTATCATGGTACAGATGGGAAGAGAAATGAAGTAGGGGTGATCCAAAAGGAAGAATATGTAAGAAATGTGGTAGAGGTGAAACGAGAGTCAGACAGGTTGATGTGTGTGAAGGTAGAAATAGAAGGAGTGATGATAAATGTTGTTAGTGGTTATGCCCCACAGGTGGGCTGTGAGTTGGAAGAAAA